CACAACAAAAAGAATAAAATACCTAGGAATAAACCTACCTAGGAAGACAAAAGACCTGTATGTAGAAAACTGTAAGACACTGATGAAAGAAATTAAAGATGATACAAACAGATGGAGAGATATATCATGCTCTTGGATTGGAAGAATCAATACTGTGAAAATGACTATGCTACCCACAGCAATCTAAAGATTCAATGCAATCCCTATCAAACTACCAGTGGCCTTTTTTACAGAATTAGAAGAAAATATCTTAAAATTTGTATGGAGACAACAAAAGACCCCCAATAGCCAAAGCAGTCTTGAGGGAAGAAAACAGAGCTGGAGGAATCAGACTCCCTGACTTCAGACTATACTACAAAGCTACAGTAATCAAGACAATATGGTACTGTCACAAAAACAGAAATATAGATCAATGGAATAGGATAGAAAGCCCTGAGATAAACCCACGCACTTATGGTCAACTAATCTATGACAAAGGAGGCGAGGATATACAATGGAGAAAAGACAGTCTCTTCAATAAGTGGTGCTGGGAAAACTGGACAGCTACATGCAAAAGAATGCAATTAGAACACTCCCTAACACCAAACACAAAATTAAACTCAAAATGGATTAGAGACCTAAATGTAAGACTGGACACTATAAAACTCTTAGAGGAAAACATAGGAAGAACACTCTTTGACGTAAATCACAGCAAGATCTTTTTTGGTCCACCTCCTAGAGTAATGGAAATAAAAACAAAAATAAACAAATGGGACCTAATGAAACTTAAAAGCTTTTGCAAAGCAAAGGAAACTACAAACAAGACGAAAGGACAACCCTCAGATGGGAGAAAATATCTGCAAACGAATCAACGGACAATCGATTTATCTCCAAAATATATGAACAGCTCATGCAGCTCAACATTAAGAAAATAAACAACCCAATCCAAAAATGGGCAGAAGACCTAAATAGACATTTCTCCAAAGAAGACATACAGATGGCCAAGAAGCATATGAAAAGCTGCTCAACATCACTAATTATTAGAGAAGTGCAAATCAAAACTACAATGAGGTATCACCTCACACCAGTTAGAATGGGCATCCTCAGAAAATCTACAAACAACAAATGCTGGAGAGGGTGTGGAGAAAAGGGAACCCTCTTGCACTGTTGGTGGGAATGTAAATTGATACAGCCACTATGGAGAACAGTATGGAGATTCCTTAAAAAACTAAAAATAGATTTATCATATGATCCAGCAATCTCACTACTGGGCATATACCCAGAGAAAACCATAATTCAAAAAGACACATGCACCCCAGTGTTCATTGCAGCACTATTTACAATAGCCAGGACATGGAAGCAACCTAAATGCCCATCGACAGACGAATAGATAAAGAAGACGTGGTACATGTACACAATGGAATATTACTCAGCCATAAAAAGGAACGAAATCGGGTCATTTGTAGAGATGTGGGTGCATCTAGAGGCTGTCATACAGAGTGAAGTAAGTTAGAAAGAGAAAAACAAGTATCGTATATTAACGCATATATGTGGAACCTAGAAAAATGGTACAGATGAACTGGTTTGCAAGGCAGAAATAGAGACACAGATGCAGAGGACAAACGTATGGACACCAAGTGGGGGGAAGTGGCGGGGGGTGGGGGGGATGAATTGGGAGATTGGGATTGACATATATACACTGATATGTATAAAATGGATAACTAATAAAAGCCTGCTGTATAAAATAAAAATTTAAAAACAAACAAAAAAACAGTTCCTGAACACAAGTAGTTTCCAAATCAAACCAGTGCAAATGTTCTTTTTTCCTAAGTGTAAATAATTATGGGGTAGTGATACTATGACAAAGATTTGCTTCACTCTCAAAATTGTCAAGATTTAAAGCAAACAGATGGGCAGCCAATATCTGACAGTAAAGAAGAAAAATTAGCAATTAATCAGGGCTCTGTTGTCAGAATTCTCTGTTGGCCTGACCATTTGTTTAAACTGAGCCCTTGGATTCACGACTACTTGTCCATAAGTCATAATGGACCTACATTTACGTAGGTCTGATAAAAAAATCACTTAGCTGCTGTTTCTTGGGAAGAACTGAATATATTTGTAAACACAAACACCTATGTTATTAGTATATAAACTAGGCAATGATCCTACATAAGGTGATATCAAATATGTATTATTTATACAAGAGCTGAAAATACACTAATAAGTGTCCTACAAGTTATTTTTTGGACAGTGCATACAATACAAACTCATATTGCTCTTATGTTTCTACATGACATATGACCCATAAGTGAACAGCAAACCCAACCCGTCAGCCGTAAGACCCCAAATTCATATCTGGATACTGGGGCCAGAATACTACAAATGTAATTAAGCTGATTAGGTTTTAGAGATGTTGTTTTCTCATAAAATAATTTGTGTAGTTGGTGGGGAGGGGGGTGTGCTTTACAGCTTTAATAAGGACAAAAGCACCTGTTAAGCTTTTCAAATTAGGAATAGCATGTAAAACATCATACTTCTGTGGACACTTAGAAACATAGGAACTTCAGTTACTTGACAATTTCAAAAACTGACTCTAAGAAAGATAAAATAACCAAAATATCAACCTTTAGAGCACCACTTTACTTTCCCAAAGTGTCACACCTCATAGTGACAATCTTTAGAATGCCAGAATGTTTAGAAATTAATATTTAGTCCAATATCACCATTTTCATAGATGAGGAAATCAAGATCTGGTCTAGACACTGGCACTTAAAAGGGGGTGGGGTGGGACGCAAGGTCCTGAACAGGGCACTGAGCTTCTGGGAAGTAGGGCTGAAGCCCTGGCTGGCTGGGGAGGCAGCTCTGTCAGGGAGCTCAGAGCTTTGAAGGAAACTGTGCTCAAAAACGCGGACAGGGCGCTGGGGAGGAGCTGCTTCTCTGAAAGGCATAATCCAACATAAAGATATTCTGGGCATGGAAGTTGGGTTACCTTCCGAGCCTGGGGTCCTCTGGTGAAAGATGCTTCCCTGGGACGATGGGCAGGAAACAAAGCACTCGGTCACCACCTTCATCACTGGAAGGGCCAGGGAAGCAAACTCTTTTCGAAAAACACGGAACCAGACATCAAGACTAAAGGTGAATATGAGTGCAAAAGCTGTATCATCGATTCGGTTTTACACAGAACAGAAAGGAATCATCCCCTGACCTGCACATCTGTCTCCAGCAAGCTGAAGATCCAGAAGTGAACAAGGGCTCAGAGGCCGGTCCTCAGTGTGTATCTTACAAGGCCCTGGGAGATGATGATTCCTATTTTCAAGATGCTCCAACCCTGGGGAGGGCAAGAGGGGCAGCAGATGTGCTGGTGATTTTCCACTTGCCCCCCACCCTGGAGATGCAATCTTGGCCTGTGTCTGTGCCCTGGCTGACCAACCTCTCTGACCCTCATTCCAGCCAGGCTCATCCAATGGGAGGCCCTGGTAGGAGAAAGCGGGATAGGAAGAAGGAGAAGTCGGAGTATTTCCTCCCATTCTCTCCTGTGGCCCCTGCCTAGGGGCCCTCATCTGTGGCCCCCTCTCCTGGGCTTGGCTGTAGCATTTCCTCCCTGGACCCTGCAGGCCTAGGGGGCTTCAATGCCCTCCTGGTCTCAATGCTCCTAGCCCGTCCCCTTTTCACTCTTTCATTCAGTTGATCCATGTGAGTTGGAGTCTGTCTCCTGCCAGGACCACTAGGGAATAGAAGCCATGAAATAAACATGGCATCTTATACTCACTTCCACTTACTTGGAAAAATTTTATATTGAAACTGAGAGAGCAGAACAGAAATCCACATAAACCTTAAAAATAAACAGACCTTCCAAAATCTTCAAACTCCAAATACTGCTGCATTGGCAGGTCACAGTCCTTTGGTCTCCAGAATCTTTAGTGGCAAGACAGGGAGAGGATGCTTAACTAGGTTGACTGGAAACTCCCTCAGGCTCTCCTGCTCTCTGGAATTCACTGATTGCCTGAGGGAGTCAGGGAAGGGGAGGGCCCGACCTCAGGGGAGGGCTAGACCAAGCAGAGATGTTGAGAAGAGGCATGTGACCCAGAGGAAGAAGCTGGAGGAATGACAGCATCTTTAGACCACAGCCCATGTAGGGAAATCACTCATCCTCTGAGGACATCACGGTTAGAGTCCAGTACTTTGACTGCTTTCAGAATAGAGTCGGCCTTTGGCAAAAAGTCCTGCTAGAAGGTCAACATATTTTGTTACTCAAGGGGCGGAGAAATGTATAATCCATATTACAACACTTTTCACAAAGTCTGTGAAAATTAATTTAATATCGACTAAATAACAGATGTGGCCATACCTAAAGTGAGCACATATCAGTCATTTAAAAGAAGATTAAAACACAAGTCTATCTGATTTCTGGTAATACTGGATAGAGTAAGGGTTAACCACCATCTCTTGCCACAAATTCCTCTCAGCTGAACCCAGAAGAGAGGAAAATGCAGGCTGTAGGGGCACATGCATAAAAGGAGACACTCCTGGGCTTCTGGGAGGGGACACAGGGCAAAGTTACCGAGTAGAAAACGAACTAGCTGGGGAGTCCTCCCCGGGCCCCTCCAAACACCCATTTCATTCAAATCCCTTTCCTCCCTCCTCATCTCGCTCACATATTATGTCCCTGCTAATAAGCTTTCATCGAAAATCAGGTTCTGAAGTCAAAAAACATTTGGACACTACTGGTTTAGGTTAAACACAAGTGTATATATATATACATATATATATATATATGTATATATATATATACGTGAACTGCTACTACAGACAAGTAAGGAGAAGACCACCCATATCTTTTAATACCTTCCCGATGAGTCTTCTTAAATGCACTCTTATCCAGATATAGAAGGCTTATCTTTCTCAATATCTAATCCCAAGCAGGATTATTTTATTTCTAAGCATTTAACTTTTTAAAAAAGATTAAAAAATTAAAGGAAGGCATTGAACTTTAGGAAGAACCAGAGGGCTAATCTGCTTACCTGCTGTCCCCAGCATTTGCTACGTACAGCTTCCCCAAAAGGCAAATCACGATGAGGGCTGTGCAACCACCAGATATACTGTATGAACTCCTCTCTCGTTCGATTTGTAGATCCTGGAGAAGAAGACAAAGTTAGTACTGGACTGTACAGGAACAAAGACTGTCTTAGCCTTGCTCCCTCGACACAGCCCTAAGATCTGAGTACGACTCGAAGAAGGGACAAGAAAATCTTTAGTACTGGCTTTCTATCAACTGACAAGCATTTCTGGAGAGGACACTGGCACAAAACGGTCGCCTACCAGACCATGTGCGGACCAGAGACAGGAAACAAGGGAAGGCAAACAGATATAATCAGACAAAAATGAGAAGAATTAAACCAATTGTATTTAATAAATATCATGGCTTACGGAAAATTCAGTCTTTGTATGGACAGCCTGAGCTGCTGTGGAAAACAGATGAGAGGCTAATAATGTCGAGTGCTTGGACCTGATCAATGTTTTTAACCCCAAAGTCTCCAATAAATAAATTCCTTTACAGCTAGACGAGACAGGTGACTTGAAGGACTGTGTCCTCAATTCAACTTGGGCAGGAGTCCACCCCCGTCTTACTGATCAAAGATAGAAGCTTCTGAACTCTGAACTAACGTCCTCTTCCCAAGGCCACTAATTCACAAGAGGGACACACACGCATAGTATCAGCCAACCATCAGTGAGCACTTCCTCTATATCAGGCAGTGCGAGAAGCGCTTTACATATAGAATCGCATCTCATTTTCACAACTGTAACATTCACCTCACTGTTCAGATGCAGACAAGTGGGGAACTTGCCCATATTTACCCCACTGGAGTTTGGATTCCAATCGGGGTCTCCTCCTCTAAAGCCTAGTATTTATCACCTGCCACCTAATGAGGTCTCCCCAAGGAAATTAAAAATAGAACCACATTCCTATGGACAGAGATGCATCATCCTCCAGACAGATGTCTTTGTGAAATGCTGTGTCAGTGACACAGGCCAGGGTTCCTTGACCTCAGAAAAATGAGAGTTGTTAGGAAAATAAACCGAATGCTGGCCAAAATAATGGCAAATATTCTCATCGCCATCTATTGTTGGGGCCAAGGAAGAAAGGACGAGGCTGGGGTACAGAAGAGCAGGAAACGGTGCTCTGGCTGATTCTGAGGCTGCTGTCGGCTGACCAAGGGCCAGGGCCCGTTTGTGATGCTTAGAAACCCACAGAATTAGAACTCAGCTGCTTCAGCCAGCCTCCTGACGGGAAGCGGAGATAATTCAGTAATCCAGCATTTATCGGCAGCTGCTGTGCTCCAGAGGCCAGAGGCGATAAGACAAAGTCAGAGAAATCACCAAGGAGAAGCTGGAAGCAGGAGAAGAGCCCCACCTTTCGTAAGTGAAAAGCTTACAACATGCATAAACACTCACTGAGATAATAATTAAGCAGGAACCCAGGCTTCCAATAACACGCAGTCAATTGACAGGAATGAATGAATGGTCCTTAGAACCCAAGCAGGGATGGCAGGAGGCTGGAGGGTGACACGGGAGGAGGGACACACGTCAGCAGGGAAAGACCGTCACAAGAAAGTGACAGACAGGAAAGAAAACATCAAGACGTCAGAAGTTCCGTCTGTTGAACCTCCAAACAGTGCATCAAAACAGAACCAACAACCCTATTCACAAAGGAGTTTGCGGGTAGGTTTATGCAATTTTTTTGCATTTAAATAAATAAAATAAAGTTGATATTATGATAGATATATATTTCATCAAATTAATATAGAAACTGGTATATAAAGCCCACACTCAATACTAACATTTTTAATACACTGGAAAGAACTGCTCTAGCTACAGAAACTATCCTTTCACATCCAGAATCACTATTTGTTTGAATACCTAAAGTCTGAATGAAAGGCAGTTTTGAGTAAAAATCCTTTAAGCACCCAACTGCTTACGGACTGGAGTGTGAATGATGCTTGACGGACTTAAACCATTGGTGCGATCCAAAAAGTAGAGTCCACGTGAAAGAGCCACCCACGTCAAAGAATTCCTCTGGGACTCAGACAAACAAGTTTATTCTGCATCGTAGGTGCCTTACTTATCATGGTTTACATCACCAGAAAATCTGATTATAAAATTATTTCATCTTTTAAAAAAATATCAAGATAGAGTGTTTGACACTAAGATTTTCTGCTACAGCAGAGTTCACATTTGCCTTTCATTTAGGGGGAAACATTCCAGTTAGCCTGCCCATTGAATGCCTTGTTATGACATTAACAGCGTGAGTCAGTTTTTTTTTCTAATTGATTTCATCGTTTCTTTCATCTTTTCCTACCTTCCCTCTGCAGTTCCCCCAGCATAAGGAATGCAAATTTGGCAACATTTCCACATAAACAGTGGCCCAAAGTCTAGCTATTTTTTATACAAGAAACTTTGCTAACAGGCTCATGCTTTCATCACCTCCCGCCTCTGCGTGCTAATAGACATATGCGTGTGCGCTCAGACGCACACTTTAATTACATGTGCGCTCTCTGGGATCACAGTGAAAGGATTTGAAAGATGTGTTTCCACAGACTTCATCCGCCCTGTAGGATTCACTGACATGAAAATATGCTCTTTTATTTCTTCTTCTAAAACTGGGTGTAACTAGAACATATTCTAAAAATAATTGCTTCCCCCTCCCCTCCCTAGAAGACAAAATAGCACACTTTTTTCCTACACCACCTACTCCTCTTTAAAAGATGCTTCACAAAATCTTAGTATTAAAAGGAGCATTAAAGGACCATCTGGGTGGTCCTTCTACTACCAGATCAAACGTGATAAATGAAGTCAATAAAGATATATTTACTGTTGAATTAACTACCTAATTTCTTCAAACTCTTAACTTTTCCAGTTAGCTTAAGCTTCTCACACTCTACATTTAAAAAAAATTTAAAAATGTATCCCTCAAGAAGTTTGGGTACTTTTTTCAAAAGATTAAGGAAATCATGAAAAATTGCCCACTGCTTGTGCTAAACAAAGACCAATTTGGAATATCTCCCCCATTTTAGCTGCCATGAACCTCAAGACATAAGCCTAGAATAAATTACCAGCAAAACACATGCACATACTATCATTCCTTTTCAAGTATGATCTAAAAGGATCAACTTAAGTGACTCAGAAGATTCCATTAACAAGGTAATTGATTTATCTGTTCAATCAAGAGTCCCTCTCAAGGCTGCTTTCTACCTAGCAGAACTGATTTATCCTGTGTTGCATCTGTCTAAATATTACATTTAAGCAAGGTTTATCTCTACATCAAAGAATGGATCCAATTTTTAAGACTTGGGATTGTATTTTGCTCCTTTTTGTTGCAAGGAAGAATGAGAGCAGTGAAGGGAAAAAAGAATGTGTGTGAAAGGAGAGTAATTCAGCAGGAAAGAATTGCAAGAAAGAAAATATATTTTTCGGGATCACTGTAATTTGCTTCGAAAGTCCCACAGATGATGCATCTCCAGGATCATTCTTTGTTTCCTACCAATTTCAGGTCGCAAAAGGAAAGCAATATCAAACACCAGAAGGCAGCGAGTGTTGGGTGGTTTCAATAGGACCTGGCACCTCCCCCTAGCTGGGTTAAAACATGGTTATGAGCACATTGCTAATAGCGTCAGTCACAAATAATAAGATTCTGCATGGTTTTAGTATCTGGGACTGATTTCGGTTTATTCTGAGAAGCCAATCTGTCAGCCAGGCAATGGGGAAGGGACAAACCAGCACTGCCTAATATCGCCACCTGCTGGCTGTTGGTGGAACCACATGCTCATTCCTTCTCGTTAGAACTTCCTGTTCTACTAAAAACAAAGACAAAACAAAAACAAAAAGCCTCTAGCTTAAATACAGACAGACCAACAGGTCCACTTACCATTACTATTCTAATTCTCAAAACCATTAAAATTTATAAACTATAAATTAGCTTTGCATTCGTCCTCCTTTTTCACCATCGTGTCATCATATGGTTTTTACCGACAAAGCCAAGCTGAATGGTATTTCCAACCATTTACTCAATGACAGTAAGATGTATGCTAGTTTTACAAGTTAAAATGTTGCCATTTTTCTCCCTTCATAACAATCAAACCTCCAAAACATTCTTCACTGTGGCGAGGAATCTATACCCACACTGAAAAGGAAATAGGACAGAATTTTGAGATCCTCCTGCCTGTGTCTATAACTCAATTCCTGTAGGTAAAAAAGGTCATCACTGCTGACTTGCTTCTGATTCCTAGGAGGGCAAAGGTCTCCTGCAACTATACCAACAATGGAAGTGACTTCTTACATGACTCCCCTGTTTTTGGAGGGTATGGAAGTAGGAAGGAGACTGACATCAGGACTTAGAAGACATTTATCTTCTTCGTATCTGTCATCTTAAGCCAAGCAACCACCTAAACATAATAGGTGACAAAACTTAGCTGCAGAAGTAGGCATTGTTACAAAGTGTAGTTGGGAAGCAGAAATGAAGTCAGTCAGAAAGTTCCTGAGATCCTGGTCCTCTTGGAAGCGAGGGTTCATTTTCCACGGTGGACACAGGAGGAGCTGGCCACGCAGCCTTCACTCTGAAGGGAGATCCAAGATGAGATACAATAGGGGACCACAGGGCAGACCCACTTCTGCCAGCATGGATCAGAGGCCCGTGGTCAGAGGTCACCTCCTCACAAGCCACGTACTGTGCCAGACAACCCCAGGATCAAAGAGAAGAGGAAAAACAGTGCCTTCAAAGAGGCTTACCGTACTTGATGAAACTTACCATCTCCTCTGGTCCACAGCGTTTCCCCCCCACTTCTGTTAGTCTTTATTTTTCGACAGGTACCTACTTTTTCCTAGAAATAGGTACTATTTATTCTGGTCTGGTGTTTCTGAATCTTTTTATGCAATTTTCTCTTTCAGATAGATATGAACATTTCACTTAATGTCACTCAGAACATTAAAACAAATGAGATACTATCTATCTCTGTGTTCGTATAATGTGACGACAAATACCCCCAGATACAAAATCCAATGTTTTCCTTCTAGGCCCCCATGGTGTCTAGAAGAATGCTGGTTATAAAATATAAGCAATTGAAGGCTTCCCTGGTGGCGCAGTGGTTGAGAGTCCGCCTGCCGATGCAGGGGCCACGGGTTCGTGCCCCGGTCCAGGAAGATCCCACATGCCGCGGAGCGGCTGTGCCCGTGAGCCACGGCCGCTGAGCCTGTGTGTCCGGAGCCTGTGCTCCGCAGCGGGAGAGGCCACAACAGTGAGAGGCCCGCGTACCGCAAAAAAAAAAAAAAAAAAAAATATATATATATATATATATATATATATATAAGTAATTGAGAAGGGCACTGGTGGGAGGTGGGGAGAGAGGAATGACCTCTGATTCTACTTTGCTGAACTGTCATAAATAAGGCAAAACCCCAAACGAAAGGCAAGCTTTGCCTTTATTATGTTACATTCTGAATCTCAGGAGGGGTGGCTGCAAATATGTCATCAGTGTGGCAAATTTGAGGCTTAGGTGCTGGGCATGGGGAATTTTTAGGGATTGAAAGTGCAGGAGAAAGCAAGAGAGCCACAAAGCTGAAATGACTGAATCTTATTCAATATTGGGTTTTCCTATTACAGGGGATCAGAATGGCATAAAACCTGCAATACCTAAAGAACACCTAGAAAGTTAGAAAGTAGCTGGCTGTTGTGAGGAAAAAAATTAAGAATGGCCGGGAGATTCCAAACCTGCTCCCCTCGGAAAGGTCTAAAGGAGGAACCACCAAGGTCAGGCCAACAGAATAAGGAAATCAGCTGTGTGTTGAGCATTTCAAACCAAAGTTTACCTTTAAACGCTGACTGTCAAAACCTAATATAGCGAGAAAGGGTGGAAAGAAAAAGTATTTTTTATGAGTTGACAATGGCCTTCCGTAGTATGCTGTATAATTTCTCTGCTGTAAGTTCTGAAGCTCAACCCAAGCTATTTAATGGCTAAGTCAGGCACTTTTCTGTGACACTGGAGTAGATTTTTCCTGAAGTCCCTGATGAAGCAAAGAAAAAAACTAGAGCATCTCTATAATTAGGGTAAACATATGACATCATCCAGACAGGGACACTTTTGAGAGTAAAAGGGGACAGTATTAATAACTATTCTGGGCCAACAGGCATCAGCTGGCTCAGTCCCCAGCCATGCAGGAGGCAGGGCCACACTGCCAAGAACCAGGAGAACCAAGGAATGATGAGTATTCTTCCTTAATAAGTCCAAGCACATGGTGCAAAGCCCAGGTAGCAGGCACGCTGGGGGCTAGACAGACAATCTGGGAAAAACGTTAAGTGTGAAGAAGAAGCTATAGGGTGGGGTGGATTAGAAAAGAACAGAATGGCTTAAGGCCCCAAATCCATATTATGGCACAGCAAGTCATCCACAGGCTGGTTACAGATGGCCTCTCCAAGTCACCTTACAGCATCCCTACCCTTGAAATCTGCATCTAACCATGGCGGACGTCAGCTTGCTGCCTTTGGCCCATCTGGGTTCTCTCCGTGATGTGGGTCTTCACACAAACGGTTGTCTCTGCCCAGAGCACTCTCCCAGCTCCCACGTTCTGTCTGCTTTCTTCCCACTCTCTGACAGCATTGCTTCTCCAGGGAACCCTACTTCATCTCTTTATCAGATTCCTACCTACTCTGCATTTCTTCTCTCGAGGCCCTTCCCATTTATATTTTATCTGTTTAATATCTGCCTTTGCCTAATTTCTTCCATGCTTTTTTCCCAGCTAGCCCTGGCTTAGAGTTAGTTCTCAACAAATATTTATGGATTGAATGAATTACACAGGAAAGCGAAGTGATCTTTTCGCTGGCAACCAAGTGTCCAAGAAAGATTTCTGGTAATGAATCAGCTAGTGAAAAGTTATTAAAAATTTAAAAAACAAGAATGGGGCTCTTTACTAAGTATTTTTCTGAATGAGCCTCTCAAGTACAGTAGGTGCTAGGAACCCTGCACCATTAATGGGCAGAAACAGTCTGAGATCGGTGTGGAGGCTTGACTCAATGTGACATTGGCCTCTAGTGGATGAAGTGGAGAATACAGCAGTGCGAAGTAAAAGATACCTCATAGTACTAGCAATTACCGAAGGAAATAAAAAAGCCAAAATTTCTTCTGCTTTTTTCACTTCTGTCATGTAAGCTGACTTCTTCTCCCATTAGGGGGAAGGTCCACTGTCAAATTGTTACCTCAATTCAATAGTTAGCTTTCTGAGCATCCATGTTTAGAAACAGCTATTCACATCAGAACCTCCATGATAGAGGGAGATTTTTATACCAAGCCCAAGGAGGAGTCCATTTTTCTAACCTTGATTCCTTTTTTTCCTAAATAATCTTTTCTTGCCTCCTGGTGTTTTTCTTGGGATTGAAGGCTACCAGATACTCCTGACATGGAGGTGCATTTTAAACCACCTGCTACTCAAAAGGGTAAATATGTGACAAGGAGAGAAACGGTGGAACCCAAGAAGAAATGAGTTAAAGTGAGGAGAGACTGCAAATTAGAGGCATGAGTATATGAACAATTTTTTGCCTTGTAAACAAATCAGATGACGGTGTTTAATATTATTTGCTTTTCTCCTCTCATTAGCACTCAACCTGACATCGTGAGATCCTGGAATGTGCACGGGGTGTACATTCAAATCTGCAGAGGTGCTTCTAGCTACTCCTGCTCTACCTAAGAGCTTGTCATCACTTTTTAATCTCCAGGTTATAAGGACACTACTGCCCACTCACCTTACTCTAGTCCTTATAACATCTCTACGTATCTCCTACTGTATCTGCATGCAGGATGCTGCTCAGGAGAGAAAATCTTTGGAACCCAAATAGTTGCCTCAGTATAAAGTGAGCTCAAGGGGGTGGCACAGAAGAGACCTTCTATGTGCATTCTCACCGGGCAGAGGGACAAGCAGGGGACACCGGGAGGGCAGCTTAGTATGTTCTCAGGAGGGAGGCTGAATCCCTTGATCAGACATATTCAAATTTTAAATGTACAAACAAATCCACGTTCCCAAGTAAAACAAAGAATTCTTGGATACTGGCTCCTACTTGCTTTAAGCAGTGGGACCACACTGCCAATCATGGGAAAACAGCTGTTCTCAGATTAGATCTGTACAGCAAGCGTACTTCTGAGCACTTTACTAAAAGCTCCATTTCCCCAAACACCTGGAATTCGTGTACATACGTGTAAAACAGATAGCAACCGAGCTCACAGTTTCAATTAAGTTCAATCCTACCAGCTGGCATCCATAAGAGCTGGCAGAAAGAGAAGCAATACGCATCCATTTAATAAGCCTATCACCTCATGCACTATCCCTCTTCCATCTTCTTTTACACCTTTGCCAGCACTGGATGCTAGAACTCTCTTGCTGCCCACTTCTTTTGAGAATGGAAGTCCTGCTGTAAAAGGAGAAGACGGAGGGGACCATGCAGCAAGTGGACAGGTCAGAGACATGCCCTTCCAGGGAACTTTCTAAGAAACAAGTATGTGGCTTAAGTGACCACCCGGGCCCCTGCTGCCCTAGAGTCTTCAGTGATTACCTACCATTTCCTTGAATGCACTTTCAAGAGCCCCGATGACGAGGCACTCGTGCGGGATCTTCTTCTCGGTGAAGAAGCGCGTGGGCGGGGTGCTGGGGGAGCCGGGGGCGCCCACCCCTCCACGGAGCGAGGCCGCGCGGGTCAGAGTCCGGCTGTTCGCGGGTGTGTGGTCGGGCTCCTCGCCCAGGCAGGTGGGCGGCAGCACGGCCGAGTTCTTTAGGATCTCCACGATGTCCTGCAGCTGCTCCGTGATGTGGTGCTGCAGCAGGCGGGATGCCACCACAGCAGCCCCGGACCCCGCGTGACCGTCAAACAGCGACCAGTAGTGGCAGGAAACGCCTTCTGATTCCTGCAGGAGGAGGGAGACAAGGAAGAGTGAGAAACGCAGTGGCCACTGCCCCAGGGTGAGGGCGTGACACCTCCAGGGGTCAGCGCGTCCATCTGGTTGTCTGTCTGCAAACAACGGGGTCAAAACCGAGCAAAACGCTTAGGGAAGGATCCCCAGATTCATCCCTGATGTCACCACCACCCCAGGGAGAAAGTAGTCCCTGCCTGTCCACCGAGGGCAGGAGTCCAAGTCACCACCCCCTCAGTTGGGGTGAGATCTACTTTAATTTGATGTGCAGAAGTGAGAGGTAAAACTCCACGCAAACAGGTAGGTCTTTACAGTTTTAACAGCTAACCCCTCACCTCCCTTCTGCTGCAACCCCCAAGCAGGTTTGACCTGGAGTCTCTGGAAGAAGTTAGGTCTTTTTTACAGATTCTTCAAGGGGAGATAAATAGACCCATTTTCGCCTCATAGGGCTTTTACACTCTCATATAATTGCCCCATCTGCTTATGTCTACATCCTGAATTTGTAGAACATGTTTTTCCCTTGAACACCCAGTCTAGTCCACCCTTCACAAGATGCAGTCAATTCAAATCTCCTCTTCATGTTTCCTACTCCCCTCAGTTTTCCAGCTGTCACTCAGCATCTTGGCTTCCTCTTCCTACCCTAAAGCTACGTGCAGCCCATGTTCCCTCATCTACCACAGATCTTGTACCTGCTGGTTGATTCTGAGACTATTTCAAGATGAACACTTTTAAAAACCATGTTTGAATCACATATGCCTAAGATGTTAGTAGCTATGGGGGGGGGGGGAAGCAGCTCAATTATGGTGTAGCTAGAGGGATAAGATATTAAATACTGAGATTAAATAGGTACGGTGCATATAACATCCACTACTGACAACTAGGCTTATCTAGCCTGCAGCAATAAATGTTGAATTCTTTTTTTTTAGTTGAAGCCATTATATAAAGTTCTTTTGGTCTATCTTACTTTTTTAATTGAAAGTATTTGACCTATAACATTGTATAAATTTAAGGTGTACAACATGCTTATTTGATACATTTATATATTGTGATATAGTTGCCATCATAGCAATAGCTAGCATCTCTATAACTGTGGTTTTTTGTGGTTAGAATAATTAAGATCTCATCTCCTATCAAGTTTGATTATTATAATACAATATTGTTGTCTATGTTATGTTCGGTATACTGTGCATTATATCTCTAGGACTTTTTTACGACTCCTTGCAAGTTTGTACTTTTACCCAACATTTCTCCTTATCCCCCCCCACCCTCCAGTCCCTGGTAACCACCATTTTGGTCCATCTTAGAATGATGCTGGAAGATACTGTGTACTTAGGGTGACATATGCCATTACTCTATTTGTGCCCTTTAAAACTTTGTTTTTACTCGATTCTGTGCTAGATGCTTAGAGATAAAATAGTCTTTTTTTTGTTTTTTGTCAAATATTTACTGAGCACTCTTTCTGCGACAGGCACAAAAGTAGGCAGTGGGGATGAAAGACTAGATGAAAGATACAGAGACAGGGTCTGATTTTAAGAATCCAGTGGAGGAGACAGACACTGATCAAATAATCACACAAGTAAACGTAAGATCATAATTCTGGTGAGGGGACAAAGTGCTGTGAGGCCAGCCTGCAAAGGGGCATACTGGAGGCTTCCTGAGCACTGAGGACCAGGCTGAGGACCACTGGAAATTCACAAGATAAAGAGGGGAAAGGAGGGAACACCAGGCAGCAAAAACAGCAGGTGCAAAGGTTCCGTGGTAGAAGGTGTGTGATGGTCGAGAGGAGACTGGACCGTGGCCATGTGGCTGAATAGGGGACAGAGGCAGGAAAGGAGGGAGATGACATGAGACCGGAGAAGGAGATAGTAGTCGGACCACTCAGTCCTTCCAGGACACATGAAGGATCTTGACTTTAGCTTAAGAGTAACAGAAAGCCATTGATTGAAGTGGGAGTTAGAAAATAGATTTGTATTTTTAAAAGATCATTTGTATTTTTATTTGTATTTTTAAAAGATCATTCAAGCTAAAGGTGAGAAGACGGCGGTGGGAAGACACAGAGTTCGCATCGCCCCACAACTGCCGGATGCTGGTGGGGGACCCCGATGCCCAAGGAGATGGGAAGAACCCCCAATTGAACCGGTAGGACATGGGGGGACTGAAGGGGGAGGAGAAGTGAAGGCTGGACAGGACCGGTGCCCTGAGGTGTGTCTGAGAGTGGGGAGGGGTTCTGGGAACCCTCCAGTGCCTGGAGGGACCCTCAGGGGCTTGGATCAGGGCGGAGCGCGCCCAGCGTTTCCCCTGCCCAACTGGCTGGGGAAGTCTGCCCAGCTCTCAGGCTGGGTCCTATGCCCTCAGAAGTCCCCGCTGGACCGGGTTGGTCCTGGGGGCATAGCAGAGAGGCCGGGAGAGAACAGGAGAGGCAGGCGGAGGGGCCCTCTGGGACCCAAGGAGCAGGAGAGGAGCAGAGGACATTTGCCTCACCCAATTGGGCCCAGGGAGCCTGCTGAGCTCCTAGGCTGGTCACCCGCCCTCCAGGCCGCATAGGCCCTGGGGCATAGGAGGGAGACCAGGAAGACCAGGAGAGGTAGGTGGGAGGGGACCTCTGGGACCGGAGGAGGAGACGAGGGCATTTGCCCCACCCACTCGAGCCCAGGAAGCCTGCTGGGCTCCCAGGTGAGGTCCCCTGCCCTCTGAGACCAGAGGCAGGAGGCAAGCCTGGGCCACTTCTGTTGAGGCTAAGCCCCACCCCCCACAGTTCCCAGGGCCTTTTCCAGCCCTGTGGGTCCTAAGCATAGGCCCCGCCCACCACCCAAATCTCTCCCTTGCTTAGGCCCCGCCCTCCACAGCCAAGGCCTTTTCCACCTCATTTTTTTTTTCTCCTCCTCTTTTTTACTACTGTGGTTCTGTTTTACCTTCCGGTTGTTATTTCATCTACATTTTTATTTTTATATTTTTTCTAACATATCTATTAGTTTCCTCATCTAACTTTATTTTTTACTTTGCTATTGTTCTCCTTTTATTTTTTCTTTTTTGCCACCCCGTGCAGCTTGCGGCATCTTGGTTCATGAGCCGGGGGTTGGGCCAAAGCTCCTGCGGTGGGAGCTCCATGTCGGAACCACTGGACTAACAGAGAACTTAAAACCCCAGGGAATATTCATCGGAGTGAGGTCTCCCAAAGGTCCTCATCTCAGCACCAGGACCCAGCTCTAACCAATAGCCTACAAACTCCAGTATTGGAAGCCTCAGGCCCAACGACCAGTAAGATAGAGACACAATCCCACTCATTAAAAAATGGAAAAAAAAAAAAAAAAAAAGAGACAGCAAAAAAATATGTCACAGTTGAAGGAGCAAGGTAAAAACCTATAAGACCAAATAAATGAAGAGGAAATATGCAATCTACCTGAAAAAGAATTCAGAGTAATGATAGTAAAGATGATCCAGAGTCTTGGAAATAGAACGGAGGCATGGACTGAGACAATACAAGAAATGTTTAACAAAGATCTAGAAGAACTAAAGAACAAACAGAGATGAACCACACAATAACTGAAATGAAAAACATACTAGAAGGAATCAATAACAGAATAACTGGGGCAGAAGAACGAGTAAGTGACCTGGCAGACAAAATGGTAGAAATAACTGCTGAGGAGCAGTTATAAAGGAAAAAGAATGAAAAGAATTGAAGACAATCTCAGAGACCTCTGGGACAACACTAAATGCACCAACATTCGAATTATAGGGGTCCCAGAATAAGAAGAGAAAAAGAAAGGGTCGGAGAACCTGCTGTATAGAAAATTTTTAATGTAAATTTTAAAAAAAGAAAAAGAAAGGGTCTGAGAAAATATTTGAACAGATTACAGTGGAAAACTTCCCTAACATGGCAAAAGAAATAGTCACCCAAGTCCAGGGAGCACAGACAGTCCCATACAGGATAAAACACACCAAGACACATATTAATCAAACTAACAAAAGTTAAGTTCAAAGAAAAAATATTAAAAGCAGCAAGGGAAAAGCAAAAAATAACATACAAAGGAATCCCCATAAGGTTATCAGCTGATTTTTCAGAAGAAACTCTGCAGGCCAGAAGGAAGTGGCAGGATATACTTAAAGTGATGAAAGAGAAAAACCTACACCCAAGATTACTCTGCCCAGCAAGGATCTCATTCAGATTTGATGGAGAACTCAAAAGCTTTTCAGACAAGCAAAAGCTAAGAAAATTCAGCACCACCAAACCAGATTTACAATAACTGCTAAAGAAACTTCTCTAGGCAGGAAACACAAGAGAAGAAAAAGACCCACAAAAACAAACCCAAAACAATTAAGAAAATGGTAATATGAACATACCTATCGATAATAACCTTGAATGTAAATGGATTAAATGCCCCAACCAAAAGACACAGACTGGCTGAATGGACAAAAAAGCAAGACCCATATATAGGCCGTCTACAAGAAACCCACTTCAGACCTAGGGACACATACAGACTGAAAGTGAAGGGATGGAAAAAGATATTCCATGCAAATGGAAATCAAAAGAAAGCTGGAGTAGCAATACCTGTATCAGATAAAATAGGCTTTAAAATAAAGACTGTTAACAAGAGATAAGGAAGGACACTACACAGTGATCAAGGGATCAATCCAAGAAAAAGATATAACAATTATAAATGTTCATACACCCAACATAGGAGCACCTCAATACATAAGGCAAATGCTAACAACCATGAAAGGGGGAATCAACAGTAACACAGTAATAGTAGGGGACATTAATACCCCACTTACACCAATGGACAGATCATCCAAACAGAAAATAAACAAGGAAACACAAGCTTTAAATGACACAATAGACCAGATAGATTTAATTGATATTTATAGGACAGTCCACCCAAAAGTGGCAGAGTATACTTTCTTCTCAAGCACACATGGAACATTCTCCAGGATAGATAACATCTTGGGTCACAAATCAAGCCTCAGAAAATTGAAATCATATCCAGCATCTTTTC